GGACATAAATAGAATTATTCGAATCTTTTAAAAATATACATACAAATTTTATATATTATTCACAAATATATATAAATATAATGTAGTCATGATTTATGTATTATATATACAAATAGTTAAATACATGTAAGTATATTATTCAGCTTTAAATATTAACTTCAAAACTGAAAATTGGACGGTGTATGAACTGACATTGGGCAATCTTTGTCAAAATTACACACATCAGTTCATTAACTTTGAACTTTAATTTAAAAATCTCCCATTGCTGCTATGATATTATATAATGCTGTTCTAGCATCACTTTCTTGAAATACGCTAAGAACTTCTGTTGCTTTCTGTGAGTGTTTTTTCTGTAACTGTTTTGTTAATTCAATGCCAGGCCCTTGACTTACAATGTTGTATACCTATATATAATAGCACTCTCATAGATTAATAAATTGTTAAAATAAACAGTGTTTTTATAATACAAGATCATAATTATAGGATTAGTAATTAATGATATTCACCTTTACATAATCTACATTATCTATAGATTCTAAACCCTTATCTATTTCTGTTAAAATAGATGGATCATGTTCTATATGAAACATAATGGGTGCAGAACATAAATTGAAAGATACAGGTGGCTCTTTATTAATAAAAACCCCTAGATCCAAATATGCCTAAAAACAATTGATCAATCTAATTATTCATGATTAAGTAGTATTATAAATTCTAATTAATTATACAACTAAGTATACATTATACAGTATAGTTCCAACTTAAGAACTTACTTGCCAAGCTAATGCTAAATGTTTTCCGAATTCATAGCCCTGCTCTTGTATATCATCACTATGGCCAGCTAATTTTAAAGTACCTTTACAAGATTTTCCAAGTAAAGTACCAGCACTTAATACATTTCTTAATGTCCATTCTTTTACAGCATAATCTTTACGATTTGATGGAGGTTCACATGGTAATGGATTATTCTGATTATCTCGTCGTCCAATGAATTCTCCTTCAGTCAAATCTTTTACAACAGTTGACATTAATTCAATAAGCTAAAATTGAATATGGGTTTTAATGAAATTAATAAAAGTAGAATATATTTATACTTACCTCTTGATTCCTAAGATTTGCCAATTCAGTACAACTGTTACTGAGTAAGTAATCACCACTTAATAAAGCAATTTTATTACCAAATGTCATGTCATGTAACTCAGATGTTTCTGGATATATTCCAGAAGGTATATTTACAAGAGCTTTATGTATAAGATGACTTGTATGTATCATTTCAGTAATTTCTGCTAATGCCCGTTGACTATAATCAATTATAAAGTGACATTATTTGTATATTAAAATATTGTTTTATTATTATTCCAAGGATAAGTAAAATATTGTACCTGTGTAAAACACCAGCAGCTTTATCTTCTTCCATATTATCGACATTTAAATGACCAGCAGCTTTAGATATTAATAATATAATTAAACCCCAAGCTTGCATACTATCACGGCCATTATATATCAAATTTCTATATACAAAGAAGAAAGATATTCATATTTCTTAAAAACAATATATCACAAATTTGAAATACTCACTTGGCTGTTTTTAACAAAGGATGATTAGATCCAACTAATTTTCTTAAGTGTAAGGCCACATTGGCGATCTCATCACTGAGCAACCATCGTAAACTTAAAAAAGATGTTGGATATCCCACAATTTTCTCAGCTTCAGAAACAGCTTTATTCCAATCTGGTTTTTGACTTACTACTGGTTTTGCAGCAAACATGCAAGGTTCAAATAGATAAATATTTTTTTCTTTAGAAGAACAGACATTCCTCTGTATCATGAACACATTATTACACTTATTATGATATAAATCTTTAATAATATAATCGTTTCTGAGCAGATTTAAAACAAACTTATACTTGGACATCTTTGCTAATACTAGTTTATTAAGAACGAACTTTCTCTTCTGCTTCGCGTTTGTCACGTAAGCAACAAGTATGCGTACAAAAGCATGCTTAATGCAAATCAACTTTCACCTATTACCCTTGATTTCTACAAGGTAACTATAAAAGATAAATTCGTATAAAATAAAAGTTATAACTTATTTGTTGGCAGATGACGCTGATGTCGTGATATCAAACGACATTTTAATGGTTAACTTCGTATATATAACATACTAAGATTATTAACATATTAAGGTCATACAAGAAGTTCATAATAAAAAAAGATGCGCAGACATGTTCACTTTTTTCTTAAATATTTGAAAAAAATTAAAAATTAATAAATTAATAAACTTAAACATGACTTGAATAATTTTTATAAAACTGCAATGTTTTATGGTATAGATTCTGCTTTTTACATAAGCAAATGATAAAAATAAATAATAAAGCTTAAAATAAAAAAAAATTCAAATTATTTTACTTATGTAAAGAATAGGAATTCAAAAAATATCATCACTATGCGATAAATGTTATATTTATATATAAGTATTTCTATTGTTATTTAAAAATATGTTAAGTAATTAAACTTGAAGAAACATCCAAAGATAGATTTATCCAAAGGATCAAATTGAAGAATACTGCGCTAAAAACAAATAAAATAGATGGAATATACGCAATCTGTATATTTTTTTTTTCAATTGTTCCCCATATATCAAATAATTAAAAAAATATTTTAATATTTTAATAAAAACATGTACATTACAATATTATGTATATCTACTTTTCATAAGATATTAAATTTACTGGATAATTAATGTCTTCCTATTAAAACTGTTCATTATTTCTGGTTTTATAATGGTGTAGACTAACAAGGAGTATAGACGTAATTCTTGTTTAATGTTGATGAACAAAATTTCTGTTTAAAGATTAAGATTTAAGCAAGAATATAGCTTTTTCGAATTCTTAAAAAAGCTTTATTTTTTATAAAAAAAAAAAAAAAAAAAAAAAAAAAAAACGTCGAAAAATGATATTCTTTCGAGAATAGTTTATACATAAAAATAAAGTTTTCTTAAAAATTCGAAAAGTCCTGATTCTTACCTGAAATCCTCTTCTTTAAAATGAGACCTTGTTCATCAAAAATTATGCCTGGACTTGATATTGATGTAAACGCTGCTTCCGACATTTTTTATGGAAAAGAAAGTTTCGTATAATAGCGCCCTTCCAATTTTGCGGTAAAAGAGAAGTAGCTTGTACTATTTATTTTCATTATAGTATGTGTTTCCGTGAAATAGATGATTGCTTCTTCATTTATGTAAATAAACCGAAGCTCAGATTTTCTGATTTATTGCAAATACAATAAAATGCATTTTGCAATGTTCACACGGTAACTCATTAGACATTTTAATGAGTTTCAGCGGATGATTCTATGGAAAAAATAAAGAAACACATATTTAGCCATTTATGCCAATGGATCTTAGTTTCCGAGATATTGTTAAAATTTAGAAAAATTCCATTTATATTCTAAAAACGTAAAATTGATATAAGAAACATTTAGAAAAATGACAACCATCTAGATTTGTCAGTTTTGATTGATTCTAATAGTTAACACGTAACTTTTTTGTTGCATTCCGGTGGGATAATCAAAAATCATTCAATCTATATAGCCATATTCCAATAAGTTACAATTTTCATAATTTTCTAATTATTTAAGCAATCTTTAATGTATACGTAGTACAATAAATTAATATTTAAACAATAGTACATTCGTTGAAACTTTGAAAAGAAGGTAACACGCGAGAAAGTCAAAATAATTTTAATATTAAATTCCAATACTTAAAAATTTTCATCTTGGACCTTGTGCTATATAAACATATATATAATTTGAAATGTTAAACGAATCATTTCCATGACCATTAATGTCTAATTTTGTACATACAAAAAAAAAATATGTATATCATATAAAAATATATACTAGTTTTGAAGATATAAAGAAAATAATTTTGTTATTGTTTATTGAAAATTTCAATATAATTAATAATTATTGTTATACCGGATATGTGACAAAAATATCTATCTATACAAAAGTCAAAAACTCGACGCTTGAATCGAATATCATTGTACAATGAAGAGATATAACTTAAACTAATAGACGTTCTATCTGTTGTTGTATAGCTTGTATTTGTGGTTTCAACTGTGATCCTTCATTAACTGTAACGGAACAGGCTACAACTGGCCTAGATACTCCACAAGCACGACCTAAAGCTTGTTTACTACGGACGAAAACATAAGGTACATTTTTATCTTCGCATAACAACGGTAAATGCAAGAGAATTTCTAATGGTGTAGCATCCGCAGCCATTACGATAAATTCTGAAAGGCCACGATTTAAAGTTTTCGCTGCTTCATTCGCACCCTTCCGTAATTGCTGATAATCTACAGCTTGTTTTACGAGATTTAAAATTTTTGCGGTTAGAGTTGCATCCGCTAAAGGATATGCTTTTGGATTAACTTCTTCCTATAAAAACCAATATACACATAAAATTATTACTCAAATTTATATAATGAAGCATAATGTTTTACAAATAAATCTATCTCGAACAATAATAATAATAATCATAATACGTTTAAATGTAAATATGAATGAGCCCACGTGAGAATTAACCTCAAAATATATAACCTCTGTAAAGCGTTTTAAACATATATATATATATATATATATATATATATATATATATATATACATACATACATATATTATAAAAATCTTACCATTTTTATTTCTATAACAATAACTAAAATTAAATATATAAGATATATATGATATATCAATAATCTACCCTCTCGGCGATTAATAATCTAAATCGCTTCACTGAGGAACTCCAAACATTCAACGAACTTAATTTATACTGTAATGTAGAATTCAAACAATTCTAGATAGCGTAATAACAACAAACTAAATCTGTTCTCTCATACAACATATAAGCCGGATGTCTAAATGATAAATTGAACACGGAAAAAATAAACCACATGTGCTCTTTGTATCTAGTTTTCGCTTAGAGGGCACCCTTGTCGCATAAACTTAAACATGGTTTTCCTAGGTACTCATGTAATACTAGTGATTTGCTAAAAGTTTCTAGATCATGAAAATATCTTGCTGTAACTCAACTATCGCTCAACGTTATTAGAACAAGGGAAAGAAGAGGAAAAGTAGTAGTAGTATAGTTGTTAGGATTAGATTACGTTAGAAACTTGACAACATATTATAAGCATATCAAATGTCATGTGACGTAGAAGCATTGATATAAAGTGTTAGGGAGGGAAACAAGACGTCACGTATTCACTCATGTGGATACAAAGTATGAAGCTCTACCACAAGGCACTGTAACGTCATGCGATGAAAATTATATAGATTCTTAAATCTTGATCATAAAGATCATTTGCTCTCCTTATTATCTACAGCATGTTTATTAATTATTATCAATTAATTATACAAATATAAAATATAAAATTCCAATATTTAAAAATTTTAATCTCGGAGTAGTCGGCCTTGTATAATACAGACATATTCTTTATTTAATTTTGACGATTATCGAGTTAGTTTTCTTTTGTATTCTGACGCGTAAACAACGAAACTCCCTCTTTCTAATCGTGAAATCTTATAAATTAATAATTTCAATAATTTTTCAATCATTTTTAAAGTCTCGAATGTACACGGAGTACAATAAAGTAATATTTAAACAACACATTCCGTTTACAACGGTGCAGGTCGTTTAAACATTAAAAAGATGGGAAAGCGTGAACAACTTAAAATAATTTTAATATAAAATTTCAATACTTAAAAATTTTAATCTCGTATATCATGCATTTTCTTATTACAATAGCGATACTAGTAATTTTATTTGTATTATTCTATCTCAGGACTTCATTACAATCGCGTGCGTAGCAATGAACTAATGGAATTGCTAAAATAAAAATATTGCAAAGTAATAGCAGTATTCGTTTGCGTTTCGCAATTTAAACAATAAATGCTTTTGAATCGACTGCGTGCAATGCAGCCGTTAGAGTCAGTGTTTGTTCGCAAAGTATTTTGCTTCTTTAACAGTCGCAAAGACTATATTTATAAAAGATAGTAGTGTTTCGCGAATTAACTTCAGTGATCGTATCATCATTCAATGATCATATCCTTAAAGAATAACTATCGCGTAATAGAGTTAGTGTATCATTGAAGAGGATCTCGACCAACTTCGATGTCGACCTACTTCATTTTCAACTATTTACGAATCATTCACTCTCAATTTCTACCTAAATTCGCGGACGAGTGTTTTGGAGTCATCACAGAACATCTTAAATATTAAGTGAAGTTTCTCCGATCACTCAATCATGTCAAGAACAAAAGGTCCGAATCGGCACGAGTGATTGGCTGTAATTAATCAGTAGAAGAGTATTAAGAGATTACGAGTAAATTTCTTCGGAGATTTATTTGTGAATGATTCCTTATTTTTTGGTTTGTTTATTAGATCAGGATAGGGTCTTCTTTTTCAAAAACGTTTATAATTAATTGAGATTTTGAATATTTTAGTATTTTTGAATATCTTAAATATTTTTCGTGCGGAAATAGTAAAGAATCGATATTTATTAATTCTAATAAAGAATGAACATGGAGACATTCACGATGAATTTGGATTACAAGTAAAATTGGTGCATGATTTTCTCATAATAATTAAAATATTCACTCGAGTAGAATCGAGAAAAATCGAGTAGAATCATTGCTAAAAAAACAAAGAAACTTATAAAATCAGAGCTCATAGAACCTAGATTAGGTTAATCAATTTTTAGCTCAGGATTTCAGCAATTAATATACTAATTCTCGTTTCTCTCCTATGCTTTTTGAATTTTTCAGTGAAAAAATATCTCTTGACGAAAGAATAGTAATTATTTTCTATGTAAAGATCTCAAGTTTCTTTTTGGATTGCGTTAGAGTAATCAAATTTTAAAATGAGGGAGGATTTTAATTCTACGCCATTTGTTATGAAATGCTCTATAGTATAGTGGTTAAGGTACGAAGTAAAGAAGATGTTATATGCCGAATTATTAATATTATTTGTCACTTAAAATGTTCTTATAGTGATAAATGTAGGAGTGTAAATTTAAGAAACTGAGACGTCATAATATTCCGTCTCTGATCCACATTGCCACATGTATACGAATAGGATTATTTTATACTTTATGCATTATTATTATTAAAGTCGAGTAAGAAATTCGTTTCCAAAAAATTCAATTAAAATCATAATTTTATTTTTATTAAATCAAGTTTTATATTAAAGTAATAGCTACAAAATGTATAAGATTTGGCAATAAAGACCACTGAAACTGCATTGAATAAAAGTGCACATGGAACTTAAACAAGCATAGCAAAATATGTGTCAAGTTTTCCCTTTGTCGAGCGTTACGGGAAAAGAATATTTGTTTAGATTAGGATCGAAAATTTTTCAGTTTCTTTTTCTCTTTTAAATTTAAATTAAATTAAATTCAGAATTTTATTTTTCATAAGTAATCTATATATACACACATAAATTTTCTTTTCTTATTTCTTTTTTTTCTATAAAATCAAATTATATTAGTCATTAAATTAAAGCTTTCTAAAATCACGGAACAAATAAAAAATGGCAATTGCAGAGAACACTGGAACTGCATTAAATAAAGGTACACATGAGTATGAAATAACCAGATTTAGACATATGTTCTTTACTTATACCACATTACAGAAGATTAAAGATGAAGAACTTTTCATATTTGATATAATTAATTCAATATAGATTCCAAAATCAAATTTATCGGAACATATATTCATATATGATAAACGCAGATTAAAGAAATGATGACTTTAAACTTTTTATTTGCTCGAAAATTCAATTAGATTACCTCGCAATTTTAGAGTATTACCTGGGATTTTAGAGTAGAGTCACTGTTAGCCCGTGGGTCTCCAGATGCAGCAACCTCCAAGTGGTGAGACCTGGGTCGATATTACTTGCGATATATTGAAATCAAAATCTAAATTACATAACGCAAGTACTACCGAGCGAATGGTTGCATATTTTTAGTGCGTTTTCAAAATTTCTTATTAGAAATTAAAGTACTTACATTCTACATTGTTTATCATAATTCAATAGATAAATAGATTAAATATAATAGAAGTTAAAATAATTTCTTAGAGAAACGGTCTGAAAAATTCTAATTTTTTTGTTATACTTATTTATAAATAATGATTTATACATAATTATTAATAACTATTTATTTAGATAGATATAAGTTTTAATAAAAAAAAATAAATTTCTTTTCTCTATTATTGAAGATTTAAATGTTTTTTTGATTTTTAAATAATTGTAGTAGTAATAATATAAAAGAATAAAGTTAATATTAATCTATTGCTATTATTTTTAATATGTTTTATTTTGTGTTATATATTCCATCTATAGTAGTGTAGTAATACACCTGTAGTGAAGTAATGTCGGGGGCTAATGACTGCTTAAATATAGTTTAAATATTCGTATAAATAATTAACTAAAAATAAACATATAAAGTTTATATCATTAATAAATCTTTTAGAATCAATCTATCTTCAGAGATGTGGCATATAGTTTTTTCTTACTTTTCTCAGATATATTACTATTTTTTTATTACATATAAAAATTACACATTAACTCCATTATTAGATTACGGGAGAATAGATTGTAACCTATACAAGTTTATACTTATACTTACTAAATACAATAAGCACATAATAGTAACAGTATTTCCCTATTGCATTTGTAGTTCGCATTTTGTCCATACTTGTCGCTGAAGTCGCATACGCTACGAGCGAAAGATGGTAAACAATCTTAAAGATGGCAAATGTCGATGTAACGAATCTTTGAACAATTTTAAGGGTGTTGACTGTCTTGTCCAATCATTGTAGAGTTTTACTAGAAATCGTATCTCGTTCATCTAGTATCTTATAAGCGGTAAGTAACTAAAGAAGAAGAACAAATAACAAAGTACCTGTTGTACACAAAAGATAGCGGAATGTAGTAGAATGTACGTTCACCGCGAATATAAACGACATGATGGGTACCAAAACATCCTGTGATTATATTTCTAATTCCAATGATGCAGGTAAATACATATGCATTTTTAATTATAAAATACAATAGCAATGCAAACACTGATTTTGATATAATGAGCTGGATTTGCCGAATTAATGAGAAATGATTACAAAAAACCGTCTGCTGCGCGTCCTTACGGCGTCTGCTAGATTGATGCCGTTTAGAAAATACGAAATTAATATTTTTATTTCAAGTTTAAATATTTTCATATTATAAACATTAATTGTGTACTTTTTTATTTTATTTTATTTTATTTTTTTGATTATTATTTTATTATATTAGGAGTTATAGTAAAACAAAGAAAAGATATTCATGTGACATACCATTATATATCTGTCAATTATAGACAATTAATGTAAAAATATATTTTATTGATATCATTTTTAAAGGAAAAACATAATTATTTAATTTTCTTTGATATTATTATATATTTTTATGCAATTATATAGGCAAATTTTAATTATGTGTATGTTTAAATTATAAAATGTCCATGATTATTAATTTTATATTTTTATATTTATCGCAAATAAATTATAAAGACAAAAATAAAATTAGTTCAACAAATAATGTATATGAGAAATGTATATAATATGTATCTTATATAAAATATTTATAGGTATCATGGGAAGAAATAGTCCAGCTGCTTTGTTGGATATGCTGGCAGAAGTTGCATCTCGTACTTTATATTCAGAAAAAAAGGAGATGAAATCATTATTAACCTCACAATGTAAAACTAAATCTGATGTTATAAAACGTAAAACTCAAGAAATGTGTTTAAATGTACCTCAACTTTTATCTATGCCAATGTCCCAGTTGGTGAAACAATTTTCTGTCTTGACTAGCGATGAGCTTAAAAGACAGTTTTCATATACCTGTACACTTGTAGATGGGTGTAATCAAAAATATACAAGTTT